ATACCTCTCACTTAACAGCAAGGATTTTGCTAAGTATTTATTTGTTAATCCCAACTAATATTATAAATGCGAAAGTAACTCTGTCTGTCTGTCTGTCTGTTACGCTTTCCCGCTTAAACCTCGCAACCGATTTTGATGAAATTTGGCATAGAGATAGTTTGAGTCCCGGGAAAGAACATAGGATAGTTTTTATCCCTGTTTTTGAAACAGGGACGCGCGCGATAAAGTTTTTCTGTGACAGACAAAATTCCACGCGGGCGAAGCCGCGGGCGGAAAGCTAGTAAATTAATAGTTAAAAAGTTGTGTCGCTTGGTACAAAAAATGATTGTTTACTATCCTTATTAAAACATTTTAGCTTATTTGTAGAATCTAAAAATATAAACAAAAGCCAAACAACAAACACGCTTTCAACGTTAATTAGGTACCTACATTGTATGTAATATAATGATAGTAACAAAAACAAACACCTCTTAAGTGTTACACTGATAATACTTGTAACGGAACGGGGCGCGGCAGCGAAAGCGAGTATAGTGATGCGGCAAATTCTTAGTCCGGCATAATGCTGAGTTAATTAGAGATACGGACGTAAGCATTGTAGGCATGTATTGTTCAGGGATGGTGCGTAAACAAAGAGGAACATCTGCAGTAGGTTTATTCTTTGGTTAGATTGGGGTTTTGAAAAAGGAATGTCCTTTCATAGAAAGTTACTGAGCTGAGATAGTGCGTAAAGCATGAATATGAATGAATCAGTTTAATCCAGCATTGGTAAAATAGGGCAATGGATAATTTAAACAAGTGTTATTATTTTTATCAATCAAATATTGAAACAAAACTATGCATTCACTGTTGCCTTTTCATCCAAAATTAATTTTGTATGTTACCTAAATAACACAAACATGTTCGTTTTTGTTTACATAAACACCACAATATTACTATTTATTCGATTGTATCAATACTGCCCGATATCCATATCGATTGTATATGCCTTTGTGAGGTAATGATATCATCGACAGCACATAAATAATATTATCAGTAGGTAATATATGGAACTGAGGTCAACATTCGATAGTATCGGTAAAATCGATGCAGGGCACTGCTGTAAGTTATGGTAGTATCGACTGACAATCAGTTTCCGTCAACAGTAGGAGGGCTACTTAACGATGTACGTATACAAAGGTGAAAAACTAGAAAGAATTTCTATTCTATTTCAAACTAACGTTTACAAGTTACTGGCATAGCTGAACAGTCTTTGTTACATTTCTAAATGCATGTCAACTTTTTGTACTTGGACGTTCGAAATTTAAAACAAAAGAAACGCGCTAACGGTTCCGAGAACGGCGGTTGTAATCACCTGTCACAGGCGTGATTTTCTTTTTTTTCCGTAATTTTCATGCAAACTAAAAAATAAAAGCACTGGCAGGTTGAAAAAAAAGTTTTAAAATCATTTAGCCGATTGCTTTTCGATTGCAAGCGTCAAATGGTTTTATAGAAAAAAAGCTATTGCTATCGAGGCCGAATTCAATCAGTTCATATAAATTGTATGTGGAATTGCGATGGATGCAGAACTAGCTATTAATTCGCTGTGGCCATGGACCGAGACAAACTGACGTATTGATGCTCCGAAACGCGTATCGGCGTAAAAATATGTTACTGACTGATAACGGATTGTATTTTAAAACATGCAAATTTCTGATAAAAGTACGAACATGCCGATATCATTAATTATTACAAATTGAGCTTATTTGCCATGGTACCTATAGGTTGTTAGTTACATTGTATAAAAACAATGGTCATCATCAACAATGAAATTGAATTTTACCAACCGTGTAAAGATACACATTAGTTTTCATTTTACGTTTATACAAATAAAATGGTAATAGCACTAATAGTCCATAGAAATCGGACTTAGCAACCGTAACGCAAACGCAACGCTCGCGTGCGAAAAGACGATTTTCACATGGTGTGAAAATTTCCACCATTCGGCCGTTTCATTTGCATTCCATTGCATGGGAATCCTGTAGCAATTCCTTTGCCAGTCCCATCATTAGTGTTTTGTTGAATAATTTTAAAAAGTTTCGCAACATCGAAAAAAGTTCAAGCCTGGCTGGAACAGAAAAACTAGCACACAGGATTTTTACTTTCCGTAACATTATGTATTTTATTCATATGATTTATTGACTTCCTCCACTATTTTCTTTTTGTAATAAACTAAATTATGAGTTCAAAAACTAAAGCTTGAATCGAACTAACAAGCCACACAAAACATTGCATCTCTTAATCAAAAACCGAAACTATTGTAATAGCACTTCATACTAAGTATTTGTATTCAAGCAAATCATTTGAATTCGTTCTATATTGCGGTAGGATTAATAACAAAACTACGTTCATAGTTGAAATAATCTGCATAGCTTCGGGCTAGTGGAATTGAAATCGTATTGCAAGTTAGAGATGTAACAGTGCAAATTTTGATATCGATACGAGAACAATCGGATCGGGATTCGATACCATCTATCGATTAATTATTTTTAATGGAAACCTTACACTATTAATACACAGCTACGGAAGGCCTGTTTCCTGTTCTTGTAAGCAGTAAGCATTTTTTCCTTATGTTAGAAGTATGTGTTTACTATACAAATTGAAACAGTACAGCAGTTTAGATATTTATATTTGCACTTCATACTTAATTAGGTACTTAACTGAGTTGAATAACACCTAAATACGAGTAATAAGTGAACGCAGTTATCGTAAAATATCGTATTCTACACTATCATTACCGTTGTTAAGAGCGTTTACGCGAAGCGCGGCGTTTCAAGGGGATTATTGGAAATGATTCGCGCGCGGCGTTTTTTAATAGTTTCCAAATGTTTATAGCAAAACAATAACAATGAATTATATATCTTTTCAAAGTAAATATTTTAAAGAAGATGTTATTTTATTATACTAAGCTATTTTTATGTTGAATTAAAGAAGAATAATGGTGTAAAAATCACTTTGATTTTTGGGTATTTCACGTTTTTTTAATTTGTGATTTCTTATTGTAAAATGCTTAAATCTAAAAATTTTCTCAGATAACTATTTGCCCAAGGATCTATGCTATAGGATATAAATGTTTGTTAAATAGTTTTCACAGTATATTATAAAAATTTCAGCTTGTAAACTGACGCTAAAGTGGAAATTTACAAAACCTGTGTGGACTTATCTTGATAGAATTCTTAAATACTAAACTAATCGCAATATTTTCTCAATTAACTATTTAGACGACAAAATTGCCTAACTATTTATGCCTATAACATATTTGTAGTATTACTGGTTAATGATTGTAACGAGTTGAAAAAGTACTGTTTTTGCGCCAATCGGCGTAAACGCTCTTAATCAGAATGAACACATCCAATTGAAATGGCATTAATAAAGTTACAAATTAAATTCTTCGGAATTACGTCGGATGTAACCGATTGCTTGGCGGATGTTTCCAAGACTTTTTGCTAATTACTTCGCTCCCAATTACACTGTCTTGATTGGGTAATAAAGAGTGAGAATACCTATAGTCTGTAAATCATTTGGATTGTTTTCTAATGGTTGATTTTAACACATTATTTTCAGCATGATAAAGTATCGATTATAAAACGATAATTGACGCGATTTTTTATCGATTGTAACGCACGTCACTACTGCAACACGATCTAGGTCGTGGGATTGAACTTCTTGGGTCACAATGGATTCAATCAAACGTCTCATTCATTATGCCAGCACTATATTTGATTCAGTATCGCGTCGGCCTGATGCAGCATTTATTTGTTGAGATATTCTATTTTTAAATGAAGTTGGAGCAGGAAATATTGAGATTTATTTACGCCCACTATCTTTCTCAGATATGAATGTCTGGTGCTTTAAATTAATTCCGAACTTAACATTATTTATTCGAGAGGTTTTTTTTTACTTTTACATTGCAAAGAAGCTCAAAGTCACATTTAGTAGTGTAAAAAGTGATAAATTAACCAAATTATTCATCTAATTAATTTGCTTACAAAGGTTGCGTTACAAACTATCAAAATGGATTCAGCACGCAATAGCCTTGAAGCTGAACATGAAAGTAAAATGAAATTAGCATCGATAAGTGAAGGTCATCAACTTTACATGGGTTAATTGAACTTATGACCTCAATCTAAGTCATAAATCTCTTTACATTATTATTGTATTTATTAATAATATAAGACCTAATCTTCAAGTTTAAGTAGGTCTGGAAATATATCTTTCAGATCTAATCGACATGATTAATAATGTTGTTACAATACTAAAACATGAAACACAACTTTTTAGGTCAACGTAGCTAAGGAAAGGAACTAAAAAGTCAATGAACTCAATACTATTATTTTCTAGATTGTTTCTATCTGTCACTAAAATTACTTTTCTATGGGCGAGAGAGATGGTTCGACGATCTGAAAATACTATAGTAGAGACATGCCTATTAAATAGCCTATTACCAATTTTATTTTTCACCCATTTCACCTCAATGGGAAATCCTGTCATTGTTTCGGAATAATTATCTTTATAATGTTAATTTCCAATTAAAATTTTGTTTAAAACCTTTGATAATGCTTGGGCTATCGTAGTTAGCAGAAACGCAAATGAAACGCGGGTACGAGTATAAAAGATTTTACAGTCAATATTAAAGGAGACTGAAACTTTTGGGCCCTAAATGTAACTAGTTGATATATGGTCTAAAAAAATGGTCATATTTTTCCATACTAAACTACAAAAAATCAGCCTATTTTTCTTTCTGGAAACTGTGTAATAAGAAAAACAAGATTTTTAAGCATTTACTAGTAAATCGATTAAAGAAGTATCGATTTATGTAAATGAGATCACACAATAAAATAAAAAAGGCACGCTTGCTTTATTTTAGGCGAATTACGTAAACAAAATAACTAATTGCGTTGTTGCTATAAATATATTGAATTATTTTAGCTCATAAAACATTTATTAAATGAATAAAAAAAAAACATTTAGTTTAATAATCGATTTTTAATTTAAATCGATACTTTAAAAAATCTGATTTAGTCTGTGCACTGAAACTGACAGCTGCCTGTCTATTTCTCTATGGATCACTCGTTTCGTATTTTTCGTTTCGTGCGTGTGCGTTTCGAGTGCTTTTCCTCCTATCTTTTTGTTTTTTCGCCGACCACTGCTTTGTTTTACGGATTTTGACCCTACATGCATTGCCTGAACGACCCCTGCTTTCAACCTGGACTCTGGATCTTGCTTACACGTCTGACTTGGAATGTTTACTTTGGACTTTACTACCGGCTTAAGAACTGGATATTGACGCTATGGATCGCTGTGTAAATTGTGGAATAGACACTAGTCGCTGCAATGCACTAGGCAGACGATCCCTAAACGATGAGTCTACTCTGCATGTGATTCAACAATGGCTTGCACCTCGGACTGTAAGTTCAATAAACAAATCATAACCTAACTCACCAACTCGAAGTTTTCCATCGCTACTAATGCTACTATACTTTGAAAATACAATACATTTATTTGAATGCTGATGGTTATCTGTTTACATTTTACTGAATATTATTAAAATGTATTCTAGTACAAAATAATTGCTGTCAGTTGTTAAAGAAATTGATTAAATGAATAACTACTATTTTTGCAATAAGTCAACACTTTTCAGTAACGTGCTATTGGATACAGTAGTAAACCATTGTACTTAGTGATTTTATTAACTGTAAACTACTGACATTTTAATAATACTGTTTATCTTTTTTAGGTTAATAATAGTGACTATGTTTGCCAAGCATGCTGGGACTTGGCTTAAAGCCGATATAATGATGAAGAAAGACAACTTGGCCACCATAATGTTTGTCTTCGCTGTGGACGTCCTCTTGCTTCAGCACGAGTTACTTATTTACTCCACACTAACTCCCATCGAGAACTGAGAATGTTATACGAGAGTGGATTACCTGTACCTCGAGCTGTAAGTTCACTTTGTGTTTTTAAAGCATTTCAAATAAATCTTAAAAGGTTTTGCCCTATTGTATTTATTTTATGTTAAACTCTTTTAAGTTACTAGTTAATCTTGCGCACATCATGAAAATGAAATGAAAAAATATTTATTTAAAAAGGCACAGGTTACATTTTGCATTACAAAAGAATAAAAGCAAGATGTGTTAACAATATGAGTAAAAAAAGTAAGATGTAGTATCAATAACATATAATGAACATTTCTACTTACAAGCTTAATGAATATGATCGGTATCGCAGGACATTGCATAAAAATAAATGATAAATCTCTTTAACATTGCTAGTCAAAAATTCAACCCGAAGTTCAGGACACAGCATAATTATCACAATAATCATGACAGAATTAATGATTATTTATATGTTTTACAGGTGCCCGAAGCTGGTTGCATATGTCATACATGCTGGGTGGCTGCAGACAGAGCTGCTGTCCATATGATCTCAGGACCATCAACTTCATCCCGAGGAATACCCCCTGAAGAAATACAGCCAGAGACACAACATACAATTACCGACTCTCGAAGTGGAATGGAAGCAATACTAAAACATTATTGTAACTGCATTGTAGGTAGACAAACAGTAGGCTGCTGCGCCCATATCATGTCGATAATATGGTACCAAGACCATTTAGTACCACCTGCCTGTGCAGGTTTCTTAGAACTGTTTCTTAGATGATATTTTAATTATTATAGAAGACGAATAAAATCATTAAGTAAAGAAAAATGTTTTAATATTATTTTTTAACATCCTATCCATCACCTTGTCATTCCTGTCGTCTTAAAAATACACATAAGGTACAAATCCAAGATGGACTTCAGGCCGCAAACTGCAAACCTCTATGAAGTCTGCAGAAATCGCCGCAGCTGCAAGCCGCAGTGGGGATTTCATACAGATTTTCTGTTTGCGGTTGCAGTCTGCGGTCTGCAGTCCATCTTGGACTTGTACCTTTAGGCCGCAAGCTGGACGACTGCAGGCACGCGCGCGCTTGCGTTGTGTGTACCTATGGGTTGCGGTTTGCGTGACTTGGGTGACTCATATACGCCAGAACTCGCGTCCGTAGTCGTCCAGTTTTTTGTGGCCTAAATATAACGTAAAAATACCTTTTTCACCTAAATAACAGCTGATTTCTAAACTAGAAATCAGCTGTTTGTTACATAACCTCACTTTAACTAAACCCCTAATAATTCTGCTCACAGATAGCCAAAACACGCATAATTTTTAGTGAACATCTGCAAAGTATTAAGCTATTAATTTACACAATTTTTATCTTGTTACATCTTGGCCCAGATTTGTATGTAATTGTTTCCATCTCCTTTCGAAACTTCAATTTCAAGAATTTCTGATACATTCCTTTTGGAACTGGAGCCTATCGGGTATTTAAAGTTTCAGCGCTCCTGACAGCTGAAGTTTGCTGACAATATTGACAAGAACAAAAGCCCCTTGGCATCTCTTTTGACTGAATCTTTTATGGTCACGTCAAACGAGCCGATGGACAGTGATTGAGGTTAATCAAAATTTCGGCCCTAAATTGTTTGGGATATTTATACATATATCGGCATCTGAAGCCAATATTTTTGCTTGAAAAGGTACCATGTATGTATACAATCTAACATCCACAAATGAGAATTGGATTTTTGGACATTTTATTAGCTTTAAAATATGCTGAAACACGAACTGAAACTTATTTGAACGCATCACCGCACCGACTCAACTTTAGCGAGTGTCTACGGCAGGGAACTTTCAAGCTATTAGGCTATATTAGTCCTTAGCTAAGTATCATTACTTCATTAAGTTCTACTAAACTACTTGTAGTTTGCGCTTGCATGATTTAAGCTCATTTAGCTGTGTCGTGTAATTTTATCGCTGTATTACCATGAATAGTAGTACCACGTAATAGTAGCACGAATGGATAAGGTAATTGATTATAAACAATTTAATTAAATAGACTTTACCTAGGCATAAACCAATTTAATAAAGCATAGCTTATAAAAATACAGATCTAGGGTGAAAACACAACTTGACAAAGGCAAAATATTTAAGCTGAAATTGTAAAATGCGTTACAATTTGTTTCTAAACCTTTTTACCTCATTCCCGTAGCACAAGAAAATTTAATTATGTTACAAGAATTCCGTAATTAACGAATAATGTAATGTCCTTTTATGAGATAAATTATAATTTTCATTTGTGTGATTCATTGTATCTTGTTTTTGCTACGACGACACATAGTTCTGTTGAATAAAATGCTATAACGAATCCTAGTAGATACTTTATTAATTATATTTCCTTTTTATTCCAATTTTGTGGAGATAAAGTAGGTACATGAACCATAAAAAGCTTTTCAATAAAATCCGTGGTAAATGAAATCTTGAATCATCCTTAGATCTTTTAAAGCTAAAAGTCTGTCGAATAGTCTAGAATTTCATTTAATTTAGGTTAAAATTCTACTTTTTGTGAAAATAGAGTCCACGAACCTTAAAAAGGATCTTTTAAATTATCGTAAATAAAGCCTTCAATAATCTTACAGCTGAAAGTCTGGCGTAGTTGCAGGTAGGCGGAAGTTATTAGCGGGGTCGCCGCCCTCGCTAGACGCCGCCCGCCCAAACAAACTCGATGTAATACGGGCTTACATTCGATTCCTTTTGGTATTCGATTATTCGAATGATCGGTAAGTTTGATTTATACAAAGTTCAAAGAGGAAGGCTATTTGTAAAAAAAGGCGAGTAGAATTCTATCGTAATCTACTTTTAGACTTTATTTCATTAACTTTATTCGCGATTAAATCTTCGTTTTTTGATAAAATGATGATGATAAAGTGAGATCTCAGCATGAAGCTCTTTTTGACTTTTTATCATAAAGACAATCAAATAATTATAATTTTGTTAAATACAAATTATTTATTGTCTAGCTATTATTGTCCAAGCGTGACGAATAATTAAAATAATGTGACTCATGGTAATTAATACTTTTCATTACAATAATGGTATTGAACGTTACAATTGCGTGACTAAATAATTAATAGATACCTATTATACTTAATATTTGCGCAACGTATGAATTATCTAAAAATGGCGGTTGCTTTTAATTCAATAAATTAGTTTTAGTGAAATGTTATCAATTGACATGTTCATAAATCTATTTATACTGATCATTATTAGAAATTACATCATCTAAAACAATATTAAACTGTAACTAAAAGCAGCGTATTTTGTAAATACCTCACGTCAATAACTTCAGCTGAATAAACATTGGAAATAATAACACGTCAGCATCTAATTACTGATTACAGTTGATCAAGACCGTACGATAGCATCGGTTGAGACGTTTGCACCCGATGATTAGCGGAGCGCAGCAAGCGAAGCACGGCGCAGCGTTACAGAGTAGCCACAATGTAACTGTTGACACAGTAACCTTACCCAGTCGTTTCAATCAATTATGTCCTCGGGGACTTTCTCTAAGGATTCCCGCAATGACGGGTGCTGCGTTTGCCTGCATCTAGGTGCTTCCACCGACTGACTAAGACTAGAACCTTACCAACTATGTGCTACTCATCATTATCATCGTCATCAGGTTATTTACGCGTATTCTCCACTTTAGGAGCACTACCTTCCCTTTTGTCACAGGCAAATGGAGGATTTTGCTTATACCCCCCAGGCTGGCCTGACGCGTTAGGGAGTATAAGAGGACATGAGTTTCTCATGCCCGTTATCACCATCAATCCCTAATTTTAAGTGACCCCTATGGTAACACATAACATGAATTTTATTTTCATAGGGGTCACTTAAAAATTAGGGATTAATGGTGAATACGGGCATCAGTTTCCCAAAAACAAATAGAGGGATCAATACAATGTTACAGCTATACTTATGTAGAGCACATTTGTTAAGACTATACTATTTCCCTTCCTCGATTACTGTATAGGTAGGGAGTCTACTGAGTCCAATTCCGTTATCACACTCCGTTACTAAGCAGGCGGAGTGAGCATATAAATTGCGAGGCCTAAAGCACAAGTCAAGCACAGCCTAGCATATCATCTCTAGTGTAAACTAACGACTCAGGGTTGGCACACGACAATACCTTAGTAAATAAGTGAATTCACAACTAATGTAAATATTGAAAGTCTGAAGAACACCGTCATCCTTAATTTACTACAATCCTGCAAAACAAAATTTCTTTGTCCATCATATGAGTGAATTAAAAAATTAGACATTGTTTTAGATGCTGCACAGCCGCACAGGTAAGATATTTCTGAGAAAACGCAAATACATACTTATTGGTTTTCTAAAATCGTTTGCGGTTCATATTGAAGCGCTCTATATTTTCTCATCCCTGATTTAGATCTGAAATTACAGGCTGTCCAGAGTTGTTTATGATTTAATATTGGTATGATTAATAAGGAACTTTACTTTCTCAGCAGACTTGAACCAAAGTGATTGACCGGTTACGAATAACATTCCGTGCTTTACAGGGCACATTACACTCTATGGCAAAGCTTCTAGGGTTGCCCCAGAGCAATCGAAAGATGAAGAATATAGTGAAGACGCTTCAGTCAATATTAGCAGCCCTATTCTAAAAAGCGCTCGACATCGAGCGGAGCGGAGCAAGCGCGCACTAATTGACGACGTTATCGAGCACTCGCAAGTTTCGGCCGACCAACTTGGGCCTTCAAATTCCAATTTTAAACTAGCAACGAGACGTTGCCATAAAGTTTTATAATAACCTGAGTTATAGGCGCGTTCGGAATACGTTAATTTTTCGTATCGCTTGAGGTACTATAATGTTTAAGGTATTATGTTAAAATTGTTGTTTATGGGACATTGTAGAGCACGCAAGGACATAACATTCGTGTCTTTATATTAAACATCATATTCTACAAGCGCAATTTATTATATGGCCGGCATAAATACACTTAACAATATAAAGTTATTACTTTGCAGAATTTTACTGGTCGTTTTTCAGGCTGAAAAATACAAGTAAATAAAGTTAGAGAGTTAAAAATGGGTCTTCTTTAAAGACAAATGAAAGAAGTAACTTGAATATGAATTTTTAATTTGGAATTACAATTTCAATGAGGGCAATTAGCATAAGTAAAATGTGGGGAGGTAGCGAAAGTTTCAGACACCGCGAATCGGTAACGTATTTCTTCATTAAGTTACACTTCGCAAAATGGACCGTAGCGGGGAAAGTTCTAATTCTGCAGAATGGCAAATTAGGCAAATGGCACAAATGACGGCACAATCTGCGCAATTACAGTTCACATGACAATTCAGGCCAAGCTTTTACAGTCTTGGTGCAGATTATGGATTGACACGACAAGTCATTTCTATTAATGAACCTGCTAAGGTACTTGTAACTTTCTACATACACTAATGTATTTAAGATTTTTTGCATTGCCATAGTTTAAGGTGAAAGATCGTTATACTTCTTTCGGATAGATATCTGATGGCTCTGATTAAGTATGAAATCAAGAGAAAGGTTACTGATTGATTTGAGCCTACAGAAGTCGACTATTTTAATTTAAAAACTTTCTCCGCCGTCCGCATCGTTTCAATATTACCTAACCACATTTCAGCAACAAACATTACAGAAAATCCTTTCAAACTCCCAACCTTCATAACTCCTTCGGCCTACTTATTTCACCATCTGACCTATGGCATTAAATAAACTTTTAGAAGGGAAATAATATCGAGGCTACTATTACACAAATGGTGTCGGGAAATCTGACATAATGCCCTACCATTTAAACAATGGCGGACCTTGGTATTTGTCTTGACGACTCGGAAATAGGTGAGGGACTAAACAAACGGAAGCGAGAAAATGAAGCATTATTTCGTTAATAATCGCGCTAAATTGGATTATTAGATGGCGTGTGGCGTTTCGTACTTTACCGCGTTTCCTAATTCGACCGTAGCATGTCTAATCAATCAGCCGTATGGAAAATTTGCTGTGACATTCACGAATTTGACCCAAATTGGAAGTTGATCGTATGTAAAACCAATAGCTTAAGCCATTTATGTAAGTAAACGAAACGCTGTTTGGGAAAATTTTCCATATTTGTCACGATGTTATCTTGGACGATAAAAAATGGGGCCGTTTTGTTACTTTTTTGTAGTGTAACAGTAATTCAAAGCCTATAATCTATACTAATATTATCAAGCTGAAGAGTTTGTTTGTTTGGTTGAACGCGCTAATCTCAGGAACTATGGTCAGATTTGTTTCTTTTTTTGTTTGATAGCCCATTCATCTATGAAGGCTTTAGTAATACAACATTACCCTGCAGCCAATAGGGGCGGAGCAGAGCAAAATTTTGCAAAAACTCTAAATATTATCCAAACTATTTTCACGCGTACGAAGTCGCGGGAACAGTATTTAGCTCCGTATTCACAAACATTGCTATGAGGTCTCACACTGTGCGTGAACGCACAGGGTGACATACTAACCAATCACAGAGCTCTATTCCACGCTGTGCGTTCGATTTGCTGCTTCACTTAAGCAAGCATCGTTTATGAATACGGGCGTTAGTTTATAGTGCCCTTTTTACGACATTTACTTTATCTCAAACATAGGTTGCCTTTCACCTGGCTCGGACAACATCGTCTGGTGAAGTTCCGACGAAAGAAACCTGTGCTAAGACATGTAATTAGTGCGAGCTAGGTAAAGTCCGTGTACCTTCTCTTGTCATTTACACTCAATTTAAATATGTGACCGGCAGCTCTACACGATTTAAACAACATTCAAACCTTTAATACTCGTAGTTATATCTTACTAGCGGCCGCCCGCGACTTCATACGCGTGGATTCCGTTTTACCCCCTTAGGGGATGAATTTTGAATAATCCCGTCTTAGTCTAAAAGGAACCCCCATGCAAAATTTTAAGACTCCTAGCACTTGTAGTTTCGGAGATTTCGTGACCTTTCGGACCTTTCGCTTTTTACATAGATCAACAAATACAGGGCTCTGTCACACGAGTTATTCTCGCTAATATGGAACGTTACATTTGAAATCTGCGGTGCATCCCGGATTACACCGATACCGGTATAAAACCGCCGAGGTTGTTCGGGATTCAAATGAAAAATGCAGCGGGCCAGCGTGACTGAATGAGGGCGCTGTGCAAAGCGAAAAAAATTTCACCGCGCCGACAGAAAAGCGGTTACGTTGCCAAACAAGAAACGCTTTTTCATAAAGCACCGTTTTTATTGTTATTCATTTTTTCGAGTATTTTTTCACCGGTTGCCCGATGCGAAGGCGTGGTGAAAAGGTAAAAAACTACCGCGACCTGGGTGCGAACTGCGAACGAAACGGATTATTCATTTGTTTTTTAGCGGTACGAAATGGAAATTAATATGTAATAGATTAAGTAATAAGTAAATCGAATTGAAGTGCTTAGAAGTCTTAAAAATTTCGACGAGAGGCTCATTGAAATACAAACAAAAGAAAATTCTTCCCTCAAAATTCTGCTTTGGAAATTGAAATTATACCGTCAACTTTCTTGTGTCCATTTCAAATTCCCTTTATCCCTATCTTTAAGGATGAGGAATTTTAACCAGTACCTACTCTCAATTGGTTGCAGGCTGGTCACCGTTTCAAACCCAACGACAGTTTCATGGTAATATTGAAATATAGAATCATCTACCCTCGCTTACCGACTTATGGTTGTCCCAAAATACCTGCAACAAGATAAAGAAATAATTAGCATTTCACACAATTATTCTCAGCATTTCGTTCTATTAGTATACAAATTTATATTAAAATGAAATTACAAGGAATTTATTACAACATAGACGTATAACTTTTCCAATAACAGGTAGTCAGTCTTTCAATAAATTGGCAAAAAGAGGATTCTACGAAATAATTTCGTTTGAGAGATTTCTCCGAATAACGTAACTCAGTAAAGCATCGAACTGCAAATATTCGTGCACGGTGCATTAACACGATGTTCGAAGTAACATCGACACCGATAAATCCTAACTTACTTGCAAAAGATTATGGCTTACTGACATTAACACTAGATTATCTGTATCTAGAAAATAAATGAACCTATATGTGTTTGCGAAGAGAAATAATGCTGTGATAATTGAAACATTTAATCTGCATCTTCAGGGATGTTGACGAACAAAGAAGAACGGTCATCTGTGACCCAGGCCCGACAGAAACGAGACATACCTCAGTTTTTTTGTCATGTCTTAATTAGTTAAATTATATATTTTTTATATTCGAAATCTATGTATAACACCAAAATATTACCCTTTGTTTTTGTTCAGGCGTTATACAAAAACTAATACAAAATGCCTATTTATCACCAAAATTGGTAAATGTATGTACCTAAATGTCTATTACAGCTGCTATGGAATGTATCTAGGTGACCTGGAGATACAGCCGGATTATACAGGGTGGTTATACATATGGAACGATAAGTGATCTCACTCGATTATTTCTAAACTATACAAGATATCGAAAAACTAGTTACTGATTCTGAAAGTGCTTCACGAGCTCTTTCAAATGGTACCAATAATAGGTTACAGATTATGGAAGCTGGTAACATTGAATTTTTGGATTTTGTAACTTCTCGTTTCCACCCTGTATAATCCGGCTGTATCTTCTCCAGGTCACCTAGATACATTCCATAGCAGCTGTAATAGACATTTAGGTACATACATTTACCAATTTTGGTGATAAATAGGCATTTTGTATTAGTTTTTGTATAACGCCTGAACAAAAACAAAGGGTAATATTTTGGTGTTATACATAGATTTCGAATATAAAAAATATATAATTTAACTAATTAAGACATGACAAAAAAACTGAGCTATGTCTCGTTTCTGTCGGGTCTGGGTTTTTTTTTGTATGGGGCGTGACCGTTCTTCTTTGCCAGATTATATTCTCGTCGACTATACACGAGCTCGGTGGAGGCATGCAAAGCCGTTCTATCCCAGATTAGACCGGAATCCAGACGTTTGTGCTCCGCTGATAAATTTGACTGAAACGCCTATTGTGTTTATAATACACAATAAGGTTTTACATGCGCTAAATTAACAAGACAGAGACGAGGCGCGAGTGTATTTGCCGCTTTTGTGTTTATTTTCTTGACTGAAATAAGCCAAACTCGAAATGTTATCTAAATCTGTGCTTTAGTTTCGACGAAGGCAAATCAAGGTAAACACTGGCATCTTATTTATGTATATTAATAGGCTCTATTTACTTCCATATACTTAAATCCAGTGGTAACTTATGTGTCATAATACTCATAATAATAAGTGCAACAACTCTGCCTAGATGAGGTCACACGTAACGTAATTGAATTAGGAGTGTATTTACCTACATAAAGCCGCATAATATTTACAACTCCTTATAGAGCTAAGTGACCAGCACACCGTTTTTAGAACGACCCGGTAATAAAGTCGCCTGTGACGTCATACTTCAGTCATTTGTTCTCACCAGAATTTAAATTTAGAACTGTCTTTAACTCTCACTGGCCATAAAGAAAAAAAGAAACCTACCTAGACTAAATTTTTGAACGCGGTTGGTCAATTTAGTGCCATATTAGATGATACATTTAGGTCTCAAATTAAAACTTAAACCCTTATTACGATACAATATGGATCATAACTGTACTGCTTCAAAAAGGCGTAAGTAAATAAAACCAGCGAAGTTCCTATAGCGAAAAATTTATGCGGAGACATGAATAAATCGCAGAAATAAAGGTACGGGCATATCTCGAGAGATATTGGCGGTATAAACCATCGGAATCGCATCGGAATCGTATAAGGTTCGTAGCAAATGATAAAGATATCTGGGAAAGTGGGAACTTCTGGGTTTTCTGGGGTAATATCAAATTGGTGAGGTAAATAAATTGAGAATGTAGAAAGTGAACGTAGATACCAATTAAGGGTTGAGACAAAGATAACCTAATACTTACTAATTTTTAGGGATTTGCTAAAACAAACTGCTGTAAAAAGGATATTGTACCTTTTATCACAACATATTTTTATAAAATTTAAGTCTAAATGGTAAGATTTTATAAATACCTAACAATACTATTCATAATTTTTAGATATTGCAGATCCGGAATTCAATGTATTTATTTACCGAGTAAATCTGTGTTGTACTGAATATTAATGAAGTTGCATAAGTCAACGATTACCATTGCAAGACTTGCCAAAGACATATCCACATTATAATTTTACTTGTCTTTCTTGAAATACTTGATCCTAAGCAAGCATCATTATGAAGACATGATTATTACATCGTACATTTGAATAATGCAAACATTACATTAAATCCTATTTAAAATAACTTCTCGAATGAATCTCAGTTAAATAATATGCCTACTAAGGCTGAGTTGCACCAGCATACTTTAACCGTAGCTTTAACAATAACCGGTGCTTTTTGTATGGAGTTTGATAGATTTTTGACATTTATTAAAGTCAAAGTAAGATGGTACAACTCAGACTAAGTGTTCATGTCAAAGCTCAAAATACTGTATGAGTAACATTTTGGAACGGCACCAAAAATCTTTGAAATTTCATTGAAATTGAGTTTGAATATGCAATAAAAGTTGCGAAAGCTCGTGAGTGGAGGTGTTTGATGAGCTTTTTTGAGAGACTAAACTCATATCTGAATAACTGCATCATAGACAGAGCTTTTAAAAGCCTTTGATAGTATTAACTTTGCGACATATGAAAGCTCATATTAATTTGCCTAAAACAAAAACTGAGAGTACATTTGATTGAAGATGATACGTAATTAATCTATGATTTGCGAGTGAGTAACACATAATAAATCGACTTCACAAAACAATGTAGTTTATAGGTTCTTACTACACAGATGCAGTGTAATTAAAAAGGCATTAGTGCAACACATAATATCATTATTTTTGTAACACCTTCCCAAGAGAATGAGAACGCTATTTTATTGTGGTAATGTAACGACAGATATTGTAACAAAAAATACCTTATCGATACTGTTATGGTAGTTACGTATAATTTACAATAACATTTTCTCTTAAGTGATCTCGAATTAAACAAGAAAGATGACAATCCTATTTATTGTAGTTCAATCAGCGTGACAAATCTCTCACATTTGGTCTCATTTTCGAAGTGACGACTATTCCAGTTTCAGATTGGATGGAATCCATTATTGTTTCTGTAGACACAAATGGATACAATATTCTGACAGTGGTCGATAGTTTTATTCCGACAAATCTATTTCGGTACTGCGGTTTTAAATAGTATCCGATAGAAGGTTAGTTCCATGAAACTTTCAAGTATTTTTAGTATTTCTGTTATGTTATACGAACTGTTACTATTATAGGGTCGAGTACAAATGGAGGTTAAGCAAGTTCAAATTTAAATTCCTCATTAGTATATTGTCTTTTCAGGGAACTTATACACCCCCGAATATATCTTGCCCGACTACATAACTAAAGTTATAAGTAAAAAGTATTCAAGATTCACCCAGCTTTATAAATTGAGAAATTAACTGGATGTAAAAGCAAGAAGAAAAGAATAAATTGTGCTAAGCAAAGGCAAATTTTGCAACAAAAGATAATGTTATCACAAACGATCTTTATCGGGGCTAACCAAAAATAAAGTGTGCGCGATAAAATCGATCATTGGCATAGAAATACTTGCCCGGGGCAAATCGGGGCTAATCTTTAAGACGGGGATAATGGGGCTTGCAATTACCATGATAACATCGGAGGACCTTTTAATGTTAATGGAGGAGAAAAATGGCGAATTTGCTATGAAAGAAAAAGTGCGTTTCCTTTAAAGATAGCACGATTTTGTTTTATCGATGATAAAACGATTCGAGGAACTTTGTATAGTCAAGGGTTACTTATGATTTTCACTCGATAAAAGTAAGTACTAATAAATTATTCTTGAAAATTTTACACAGCACCACCTAAAATTCCTAAACAAAGCAAAGCTTGTACTATAAACTCATACTCGTACATACAATGTAGAGACTACCTTACAAACAACTAAATACACAAAGAAAAATACTTATTGACCTCTAAAATATTCCACGGCATAGTGGAGAATGGAAATCACACGTGTTTACTATCACATTTGATATCAAATCAAATAAATTAAACGATGATAAAGAGAAAGTGATAACGTATGATTAAACAAATGTCAGTTGAAAGCGAGTTTTCGTTACATCATTCTTGTATTGGCAGACTGTATGGCGCGTCCTCCACTTATACAAATACAGACAAAGGCACATAAACTTAGACACTATAGCTTCTTATGCAGTTGTGATAAGGGTTACTTTGCAACAAAAATGTAGCGTCCAATGTGCCGTCGATTATATGTACCTACATTAGTAAACTAACCACGTTACATATCGAACGGCATTCAACCGCCAAATCAGATTACAATGGCATATGCTACGAGTAATCGTAAGCATATTTAATGAATGCAAAGTCACAAAGCACAATCGTTCATATTTAATCGCGTGGAGATCGCAACTCCTGATCAGAACTTTGAAGCACAAGCTAGTAAATAATACCATAGACTAGCTAACCCGTCGAAGTTCGTATCGCCTATGTCCATAAGAAACAATGTAGGATTCTTATAGTGGAAGAATTTTTCAAATCAGTCCAGATGTTTCGAAGCCTATTAATTACAAACAAACAAAGAACCAAATCTTTTCTCTTTATAATATT